GGGGGGGGGGGGGGGGGGAAGGTGTTGAAACTGGTCTGTATGGTCCTGGTTCACTGTCCATTCTGGAGAGCCTCAGTCCGGTTCGATTCCGCAGTCAAGTAAATATATGAATACATTGAGAGAGACCCACCTCCCCTCTAGGCTGAAGGACCCCTGACCAGCATTGATTGATCCAAGCTGGTGATCAACTGTCAGATAACCTGAAGCATTGTGTTCCTCTCAATCTCAGCCTGTGCTGGAGTTGCATCACAACAATGTGAATGCCAAAAAAAACTGTATGCATCAAGAGTTGCCCAGGTCAATAAAAATTGTCTTTGCGCAGAGATGAGGTGCTGTCCCACTTGTTCCATCTCAGCTTCATGTCATCAATTGTCACAATCTCACCATTCAGTAGCCAGGTGTGTGAGAACGCCTGGCGACAAAAGCACACAATAAGGAATGGGAGATCCTTCGCGCGGATCCAATTCAGACAGATCCATCACGTGGACCCAATCCAGACACAGTTCTCCTCGGCACTCTCCTTCTGAGAAACTCTGGGCAGGGGTGGACGGCAACAGCGTTGTCGCCCTGCTTGTTGGACGTAAGCCGATCGCGAGAAGGTTAGGATTTCTTCTTTTTTTTGCCCCTTTCCTTTTCTTGTGCCTTCTTTCCTTTCCTGTTTCTTTTTCCCTCCGGCTCATGAACTGTCGAAAATTGAAATACAGAAGCCCAAGCAACTCAAATGAGTAAATAACTCTGAATTTACCTGGGCATGGTCCGTTGGAGGATGATTGATATCTCAGGAGAGGCTAGGACTTCTATCTCCGAACCATGGAAAATATTTGATCCTCATAGACGCATTGAGGATGTGGAAGTTGACCCGTCAGAGCTGGACACAGAAGAGCTCCAAAAGTCTGTGCTGGGACGTCGCCCTGCCAGGCACGCTCAGGCCAGTTGGGCAGAGAGGGGGTCGACCGGCAAAACCAGACGGGTCAAAAAAGAGAAGGATCCCAACAAAAAAAAAAAGGACTTCAGGCCAGGACTGCGCTTCTCCTAAGCAGTCAGAATCCGGTCTTGACTTCGATATTGGTGATGGGTCATCCAGGGGGGTTTGGGGGCTATAAACAGTGACTAAAATGGTTTCAATTTTAAAACGGTACATTTCAACCATACTTGTGGTGCATCACGTGCGCGCGAGTTGCGCACGTGCGGCGCATAGCGCACGCGCACACATGCTAGTCAGGAGCTGAAACTGGGGGTCCCCGGTCGTGTGGATGCGGCGCGTGACTTTTGGGAAAGAAAAAAAAAAAAAACTGAAAGGACAGGGTGAAATTCTAGGTATCTGTCTTTTATTTTTGCTATTTTCTTACTTAGTAACCATTTTTCTTTGAGTGCTTTTTGGCTGAGCTCTCTTTTTTTGGGATCCGTTAGCCTTTCTTGTTTCCTGAGTTCCTTTTTCCATCGTACTCTGATTTCTGTTTCTATTATTTCTTTTGTCTCCTTCCATTACTCTTTGCTTGTTGTCCTCTGGTTTCCTAGTGTTCCCTTGCATCTAGATCGCCATATGACCCATAGTGCCGCTCTCCGTAGTAGGTCTCCTATAGTTCCTTCTTCTTCTTCCAGGTTTACTTCGCTGTCTCTTCCTGAGAGTAGGCAGTTGGCTTGCTCTGGTTACGAGTTTGAGGAGATGTTAGACCAGGATGTTTTGACGGATTCCCATAGTGTAGTTGCGTGTGTACACTCTATCAAGCAGTGAATGAGGGACTCTACTTTGTTGTTGTGACACATTTTACAATGGAACGATTGTTTCGTCCTTTGGTCTACGTTTCTGCATGAGTCTAGCCACTCATTGACTGGGACCACCCAGTAAAGAATCAGCCACTGTAGGCTTCTGAATCTGGGGGGCTTTCTGCTGCTGTAGTAATCCCATGGGATTTTGGCCGGCCATCCATGATCTTCTCCTAGATGATTGGACCATCTTTTTGAGATGACTGGGTGTGGGTCTTCTCTCTTGTTCCTTATTTTGTACCCTATCTTTGCTTCATAGTCCTGTAGATTGATTAGTTTTCTTGCTCTTCCCCTGCCCAGTTTGATAAACCACCCCCACTCCACTGGATCCACCTCCAATTCACTGATGTCCTTATCCGGTCTGAATATTAGCAGCTTCGTGGGTTTGTGATCACTACCATGCATAGTTGCGGCGCACCAGTGCGCTGTGCGCTGGAATGACAGTGCGCACTGCGGTCCGCTGTGCGTGGTGCGCGCGCTGAGGGAGGTGCATCCTGTGAGCGGAAAAAAAAAAAAAAAAAAAAAAAAAAACCAGACAGGCCCCAAGAGAGAGAGAGAGAGAGAGAGAGAGAGAGACAACAAAGGGTCCCCTTCACGTCACTTTGAGGGCCCCTGCAGGTACCTCGAAATGGCTCCTACAGTACATGGGGAGCCATTGAGGGCCACTGCTTCAATGAGAAGGATGGCCTCGTCATGTGTGGAAGAGATGGGGGCAGACCACCAATATATGCTGTGGATTCGAGTTCAGGGTTGTAGCTCGGCAGTTAGGGGTCACCAATTCAGCTAGACCCTGTTCGTGTCTCCACGTGATTCTCATGGCCTCCACCACTCACCACATGTATACAATATTAGTAGAATGAATCTTCTGCTAAAACATGGAACCATACACCGCCATATGCTATGTCTTTTGTGCATTTGGTGAGTAGTGGAGCAGGCCTCACAGGACGTATTCGTAAGAAAACAAAAACAAAAAAAACGAGAGAGCCACGGGCATCTTCATCCTAGCCCATAACTGCCGACATGCAGACCTGAAAGCCAATCTTCAGCATGTATTGGTGGTCGGCTGGCCATGGAAAGCGCAACTTGTGCATCTGCGAAGCTTCGCGAGGCAGGTCGATATTAGGCGACTACCCCTTCTTGTGAACTTGCCCCACCACTGTGTGGGACTTGCAGAAGGGAGCGGGAACGACAGCTTCCGTACCCCGCCTAAAAAAAAAGTTGGAATGAGCCCTATTTTATGCTTCGCCATTTTGAAACTCTTGGGGGAAAAAGGGCCTGCGAAAATCGAAATTCGGCAGCCCTTACCCAAAAGAAAAATTTGGGCTGGGAGCGCAGCCGGTTTTCTTTTTTTTTTGGACCTAATTTTTCCAGTGCGCTGCGCTTCGGTGCGCTGCACGCGGTGCGCAATTCGTGCACAAATCTGCGCACCGAGGTGTGCTGCAACTATGCTACCATGGGCTTCCTTTTTTCTTTTGGGGGGGCCATGTCTAACATTCCTAATGTTTTCCAGGTCAAATTCTAGCGTTATTATACTCTCTTCTGAGTCTTCTTCAATTTCATTTTATTCTTTTTATTTGGACCGTTTTTCGATTTATGCCTGTCATCCTTGCGCAGGGGCCATGCTAATCTTCCACTGTATGGGCTTCTCTTTACCGGATGTCCCGAAGGACAAGTCTTCTTCAATTTCTAGTATTATACTATTGACTTATGTTTATTTAATAACTGTACCTCGAATTCTGCAGTGTCACCCTGGGTTCCTACCTTCTTCAGGAATTTAAGGGCTACTGAGGGTGTTGACTGTTGCTTGTCTGTTGCCCAATCCCCTACTTCCCATTTGATTCGACTTCGTCTATCATTTCCTCTAAGATTCTTTTCAAGGTTGTGGGCTCCCTTGAGTTGATGTCTCAGTTCTGAGGTCCTCTTCCATCTTCGCTCTTCATCCATCCAGATATGTTCTATTTTCCACATTCCCTTCTGTATCCACCTTCTCCATCTCCTACCTCTGGCTGATAAGGACCATGGTTTGTCATTTCCGTCCCTAACGAGGGGGTTTCGGAAGAGGGGTTGGCTGAGCACTTATTCTTTTCTTTTTGGCTTCCTGACCTTTTCTGCATTCACACTCCAATTATTCACACTTGTCTTGCATGCAAACAGCGATACAGCAACTGGCGACATGCGCCCTGACAGTACTTAAGATATCGTAACCAGATATGAGTTCTCTTCAACTGGCTATGGCGACTGGGCGCCCACACAACTCACTGTTCGCACTCTGGATCACCCTGGATGTCCCACACGCGACACTCAGTATCATACGCAACACACACACACGCTATGCTACAGCTATGGCAGCGCTAGCTGCCACTACCTATCGCTACACTACACTTCTCTGCCCACTTCGTCTTCGGGCACACTGCAGACCTCCTCGCACAAGCTGCTAAGGTAGCGCTTCCGCATGGCATCCGCACGAATGAATGAATGGCTGGACGCAGCCTCTTGATTTATACTTCTGCGCTGCGTTGGTCTGCCCTGTATCCCTGGCCCATGGTGCACACAGTCCCCC